GGTGTCGGGCGGCTCAGGGCAGGACTCCGCAGGGCAACCACCCGAGATACCTAATGGGCTGCTTACCTAGGAGGGAAATGCCAGACTCTACTTGCAACAGACCCCCCCCACTCCCGTTTAGAAATTACTTTAGCAATTTGATTTTTCGAGACAGGGTCGTCTTGTGTAGTGCAGGCTGACCTCCCACTCTGAGATCCTCCTGCCTCAGCCTCCCCAGTGCCAGGATTACAGGTGTGCACCGCCATGACCGGCTTTTTAGCAATTTTAGAATACTGGTTTTAAAATATACAGTATGAGGCTGGGGATTTAGCTCAGCGGTTCGGTGGCCTGCCTTGCAAGCACAAGTGACCCAAGTTCAATCCCCGGTACCAAAAGTAAATAAATAAATAAATAAATAAAATATACAGTATGACCATTTCAGAGAAAAATAATCCTTTGATAATTGATTTTTATTTTAGTGTCATATGGATTAATGGATCCGTTGGTCATTTTTGACATACTGGAAAAATGCTTGTAAAGAGCTCCATAAGAGTGGTGCCTACTATTGTTAATACTTATCAGTAGAGTTTCTGGGATCTTCCTTTTCTTGGACTTTTTTTTTTTCTTTTGACAATATTATTGATTGAACCCAGGGCCTTTACACTGAGCCATGGCCCCCAACCCTTTCTATGTTCTAAATTTTGAGACAGAGTCTCACTAAATTGCCCAGGCTGGGCCCAGACTTGCCAACCTCCTGCCTTAGTCTCTCAGAGTGCTGGGATTACAGGTGTGAACCCTGTTTTGAGCTTCCTGGGTACTTTTTCCCCCCTTTGGTATCAGGGATCAAACTTGGGACCTTGCACTTCTGAGGCAGGTGGTGGCACCACTAAAGCCCCGGCTCCTGAGTTTTTTGAACAGAATGAAGTCTCCTTTCCTGTTGAAGAGTTTGCTCCGTGTCCTTACATGTTCCCATAGTGCAAGGGAGAGAAAAGGGCTGGGGCTTCTGTGAGTTTCTGGCCCTGGTCTGGTGGAGTTGGGCAGACTTTCCTGTAGCTGTGCAGGTGGCATCCCCAGCCCTCATAGCTGGGCCTGACCATCCTACTTCTGCTCCTTTCCATCCTTCGGAACCCAGCCCCCTAGGACACACCTGGCCTTGACTCTTGTGAGTGAAGCTGTTAAAACCACTGGCACCATATCTGTTCATAGCCTGTGCATGTCCCAAATCCTAAATCATCTCTACCTCATACAGTGAAAATGCCACATATATGTTATGCTGTGCTATTTAGAAAAAAAATACGTGCACAGGTGCAATTTTTTCTTTCCAGATATATTTATCTGGGGTTGGTTGAATCCTTGGCAGTAGAGCCGTTGCATTTCTTTTTTTTTTCTTTTCTTTTCTTTCTTTGTGCTTTCAAGGCAGTCTCAGTGCCACTGAGCTAAATCCCCGGCCTTTTCTTGAGACAGGGTTGCAATTTGTAACCCAGGCTGGCCTTGAACTTTCGACAGTCCTCCTGCCTCAGTCTCCTGAGTGCTGGGATTACAGATGTACACCACCACATCTGGGTCTGATTGCATTTCTATGCAGGATTATTCTCTTGAAGAAGGAAAAACCACCTCAGTTTTTCTGCTTGCCCATTGTAGCTTTACTGTGGTAGGTGTTCTGTAACTGTTACTGAAAGAATACTGTTGAATCATCCATTCAGGAGTTATTAGGCACCTCTGCTGTGAGGGAAGCTGTCTTCAAAGTTGGGTATAGGAGCTGGATGGGGTGATGCCTACCTATATCCCAGCATTCTGGGAGGCTGAGGCAGTCCTGTTACTGCAGATAGCTAAGTTAGTTAGAAATTGTTATAAGGCAGTTAGACAAGGCTGGGCCCTCAGCATAGAAAAACAATTGAGATACATTCACTGGTTAACATTATAAAAAGAAAAAAAATTACTACACTCACCTAATTCCCCTAGAGATGCACATCATAGATTGATATTCTAAATAGTGATTGATATTCAATCTCCCTAGCCCATTTCCTCTCTAGAAATTTTTTATAACTTGTTTTCCCTTTTGATCCCCATTAGCCAATATCACCTGAGTGACTGCATTTATAATCTTACTGGTTGATCATGGTTTTGTTCCACCACATGCCCACCTTGTGATTTTCCACTGGGTCGAATAATTTTGTCCCACTTTATACCTGCCTCACTTTATGGCTTCTCCCCATAAAACAACTTTGAAAAGTGGGCTGGGCAGGCAACCCACTTTTTGGTCCCCCTCTGTCTGTCTTGGACAGAAGCTATCTATCAATAAAGCTTTCCTTCTCTTAGACTCTATTGTTCCTAGAATTCATTCTTTGATTTTAGAGAACACGAACCCGTGTTTCGGATATCTAGCAGGTTTGAAGTTTTAATATTTCCCTTGTTTGGATTATTTTTGCTTATTTGGATTACCTGCCCTATGTCATCTTCTGTATTACTTGTTTCCCCGTGTCGCTGTCACGAAGGTACTGTCCTCGTCACCCTTCTGTAGGTGTGGCAGTGAATTGAAGGGTGATTAAAAATCCTTCCCAGCTGGCCAGCCTGTGCAGGAGGGTTTGGAGCTCGTCTAGGCTCTTCTCTTCCTCTCTTTCTTTTCAGAGGAACGAGCTCACATTGGGCAGCCGTTGTTGCCTGTCACCAGGGCTGCACTCCTGGCTGATGTCCCAGCCTCAATCCTTTGGCCCAAAGGCTCCGGGAAAGGGCTTTGTCAGGGTTGGTGTCATTCAGTTTCCTGGTGGAAGTTTTGATTGTATACTTTTGGTAGTCAGTGCCTTTTCTCATCTTGTGAGCAGATTGCCGAGAGAGACAAGCCAATGGGGGACCAACACCCTTCCGCACCCTGTCCGTCCCACCCACCAGCTGCCAAGAAGAGCTCGTACCTCTACTCCACGGAGATCACCCTGTGGACCGTGGTGGCTGCCATCCAGGCTGTGGAGCAGAAGGTGGACTCCTGCGTGGCCCGCTTGCTGGCTCTGGAGGGCCGTGCAGGGACGGCCGAGAAGAAGCTGGCCGACTGTGAGAAGACTGCTCTGGAGCTTGGCAACCAGCTGGAGGGCAAGTGGGCCGTGCTGGGGACCCTGCTGCAGGAGTACGGGCTGCTACAGCGGCGGCTGGAGAACGTGGAGAACCTGCTGCGCAACCGGAACTTCTGGATCCTGAGGCTGCCCCCGGGCAGCAAGGGCGAGGTCCCCAAGGTAGCCTTTGGGTGTCCTGGGGTACAGAGCCTGAGGGCCCTGTAGCCAGCATGTGGGTGAGCAAGTGTGACCCTTGTGGTTCCAGGTACCTGTGACCTTTGATGATGTGGCCGTGTATTTCTCTGAGCAGGAGTGGGGCAAGCTGGAGGACTGGCAGAAGGAGCTGTACAAACACGTGATGCGGGGCAACTACGAGACGCTGGTCTCCCTGGGTGAGGGCGCGAGAGCCGAGCACCCTCATCCCAGTGACCTTCCACACTCGGCTCTTTGTTTTGCACCTCTTTCTTTAGCTCATGGTAACTGGGACCCAGCCCTTTCTCCATCCCCTCCCTGTTCCTTTTGCAGATTATGCCATCTCCAAACCAGATATCCTCGCCCGGATAGAGAGGGGAGAGGATCCCTGTCCCTGTCCCACAGCCCCATGGAGCCAGGAGAAGGGCAGCAGGGAAGCAGTGGCGCACCCCAGGGTGCAGGGTGAGTGTGGGCGTGTGCAGGGGTGGCGGGGCAGAGTGACTCGTGGTCCCAGCCGGGAGGATGGTGCAGTCACCTGGGAGCTGGGAAGGCCGCACCAGACTTCAGGCAGGGTGGTCGGTGGGCTCTTCCTTGGGGCCATTGGTTTTTGCATCCCGGCAAAGGGCAGTCGTGAGAGGCTGTCTTGAGGATTGTGCTGGCTGCTGTCGCGCAGGAGGCCAGAGCATCTCATGTGAGCAGGCTGACTGCTGTTACGGTGACAGCGCAGTTGTGTCCTCATCACCTCCTGGCACCTGGGCGGTGGCAGGGCCTCCTGTCCCACACTGCCCCCAGTTTGGCCTCCTGCTACTGGCCCTGTGTCTCCGGCTGGGCGCAGGGCACAGCTGAGGCCTGCTCCTTGCATGGGAGCATGGGCTCTATAGGGGGTACGGGTCAGCATCCTGGGGGGACTTGTTAAAATGAGATTTGAAAAATAAATGAAAGTAGACCAGGACAGTGAATCTCTAAACGATCATCGCCAAGACGAGGACCCTCAGTTTTCACCTTCACCTCCTCCATCTTTTTCCTTTTTCTGGAACCACAATACAATGACCACAGCCACAGGAGTTCACCTGGTACATGATTTACACACCACACAGTGCACGCACTGTGAAGTACACAGTGGCTTTGGTATATTCTCAGAATAGTGTAGCCTTCATCACCGTCTCATCATTGACCCCTCGTGTCCATCAAAAGAATCTCCAGTGCCCTGAGCAGTCACACTCTGTCCCTGTTCATCTCCTGTCTGTTTCTGAGGATTTGCCTATTCTGACATTTCGTAGAAACAGAATCCTATAATACAGCACCTTTTTTTGTGCTTGCCTTCTTTCAGTCAGCGTAATATTTTCAGTATGTATCCATGTTGTAATTTGGTTGCCCCATTCTTTTTCATGGCTGAATGTTATTCCATTTTATAGGTATACTGTACTTGGTTTATCTAGTCATCAGTTGACCAGCCAACCCCCAGTGCCATTTATATTGATATTTAGTAGCATTATATCTTACTCTGTTTAATGCCATTACTTCTCACATGATAACATTTAACATACTCTCTTATTTTCTGTATTTCCTGCCAACTGGATATAGAGGCTGTGTACACCTAGGGTCAGTGTTTTTGCCAAGACACTTCAGCAGCTGTGCTGTGTGTCCCTGTGGGCACAGGAGGTGTGGTTGTCATTTTATGACTGTCAGTGCCACCCCCCATTCACAAAGTTCCTCATCACTTGTTGCCTAGTGAGATTAATTAGCCATTCGAGAGCTGTGCTGAATTTGTTTTCATGGATGGTAGCGAAATGGTGAGATTCTGCCATTACTTCTGCACTCGGTGGCCAGAATCTTTTATAAAGAAGTTTCCACTGAGGATGTAGCTCAGTGGTTCTGCCACCTGCCTCACAAGCACAAGGTCCTGAGTTCAGTACTAAAAAAACCCCAAAAAACAAAAAAAGTTCCCCTGGTCAGCCCTTTTAGTTAACCTGAATTGCAACACAGAAAAGGCAGACCGGTGTCCGGTTCTTGCCTTCTTCAATTTCGGAATGAAGACTTTGTAAGCCTCCAAAGGTGAGGGAGGACTCTCCCTCCCTCTTTTCTTCCCTTCCTCTGCTTGCACCACCTCTTCTTTTTTGGTGTTATTACTTCACAGGGTTTGTGATGCTTTATAGGTACCAGTCCTTTACAGCCGTTGTTTTCAGACTTAAGTTCTCCAGGTTTTTCCGTAGGTCACTGTAGTGTGACATGGGGCTTCTGGTACCGTGAGAAGTGCCAGTTTCATCTGATGTATTTCCTGCCCCAGACCAGGAGCAAAATTTCTCCATGGAGCTGGGCATGTGACAGTAGTATTTATCTGTGACCCCAGCTACTTGGAAAGCTGAGGCCAGAGGATAATAAGTTTGAGGCCAGCCTGGCCTATTCAGTGAGACCTTCTCTCAAAATAAAATTATAAAAATTAAAAGGTTTAGGAGTATAGCTCAGTGCTAGAGTGCTTGCCTAGAATGAGAAAGGCCCTGGGATCCGTCCCCAGCACCAACACTAAAATTTTTTCCATTTATTTATTTATTGCCACGGGTGCCTGCGATGCTTAGCATGTACTCTCTGGCCAAGCTGCACCCCTAGTTGCCCCTTCATGGAGTTTTGATTCCTTTGAGTCTGGAAGAGCATTTAGAGAGCACAGCATGTTAGAATTGTGTTGTTGTTTTGGTTTTTTGAGACAGAGTCTCACTGTGTAGTTCAGGCTGGCCTTGAATTCACTATGGAGCCTAGGCTGGCCTCGAACTAATGGCGATCCTCCTGCCTCAGCCTCTCTAGTGCTAGGCTTATAGACATGTACAATCACACCCAGCTCATGTTAGAGTTTTTGCATTACTTCTAGGTCTTCTCTGAACACAGCATATTCTTCTTCTTCTTTTTTTTAATCAGTATTAATCATTTCTGTGTTTCTTCAAGTCCTGTTTCTTTCTCTTGGAATGTTAGAGTGGGTCTGGTTGATCTGTTGACTCCATGAGGTCTGGAACTTTATCTTGTTCTCTGAGCATAGGCTGTATATCTACTACTTTGTTTAAGGATGTAGAAGACCTGGTTGGGTGTGATGAGGGGGCACAGAGCTTCCCTGTCCTCCCCGGGTGCCCTGACTTCCAGGTATTACCATGTGCTCCACTCTTCTGACATCCACAGCCTGATTTTTATTTTGAGACAGGGTCCCACTAAGTTGCCTAGGCTAAAAATCAAACTTGGGATTCTCCTGCCTCAGCCTCCCAGAGCTCAGGGATTATAGGTGTGTGCCACTGTGCCTGGCTAACCCTTGGCTCTTGAATGGTCAGTATCTGCTGTTTTGATGAGGTCTCTTTTTTTTTTCTATCTGTGCCCTGGGCTTCAGTTTTGAGGCTTACTGTCTTGTGATACAGCAGACGAGTTGGGAGGATGAACACCATTTCTCTCTCTGATCTAGGAGGGGTGCAGAGATAAGACTCAGAAGAGGATCACTAAGTTTTATGGTCTGCTCCTGAAGCAGCCATCCTTAGCCCTCCCACAGAAGTAACATTCAGGGGAGCCAGTGACAGGTCTATTGGCACCAGGTGCAGAACAGTGCACCCCAAGGTGTACCCCTGCTCAGAAAGGAGACTCAGCAGCAGCAGCAGCACCAGGCACAGACCTAGTCCAATTGTTCTTCCTCTCTGATGACACTGCAGCAGTTGTCACTGGCTGGAGCACCAGGTCTGCTAGGGCTGCTGAGGGACTGACGAGTCCTTGCTCTGTGGATCCAGAAGTTCAGGCAGAGCCCTCCTAATTCAGACTCAGGTGTGGAGAGAGATTTCTCCGGGTGATCTGGCTGCTCTAAACACCCAGGCCTGCGATGTGAAACCACAGCTGATCTGTTGACAGAGTGGACAGCATCTGTTAAGACAACAAAACAGGGCCAGGGATTTAGCTCAGTGGCACCATGCCTGCCTCGCAAGCACAAGGTCCTGAGTTTGATACCTGGTAGCAAAAACAAAAAGACAACAGAACAGAATGGCTTTGTTTCTTGTGGGGGTTGGTGCCTGTGCTTAATTTGGGACATCACTGTAAACCTCAGTGACAAACAGGTGGTTAGAGTCTCACTGGGCACGGGCCCTGAACATGCATTTGTGTCGACTTGGGTGCAAGAAGGACACATGTAGGGTGAATAATTGTCACACAACACAATGCTTTACCTTGGGAGATGTCCAGACCACAGGCCACAACTGCAGTATCGGTTTTCTGCCACACCACTGGGCTCCGTGATGCTATGGAGAGTGGTGTGCTGAGCCGTCTGGTCCTCATGGTGCTGTGCAGAAACCTCTACAGGGAGGCTGTAGGTAGAATCCAGCTGCTAGAGAGTGAGGAAGCCACCTCATCATCAAACCCTGTTTGGGATTTGATATCCTTGGACCCCCATGGACTTGCACTTGGCCAAAGAGCCCCCAGCCACCTGGCAGGCAGACCAGTGAGGGATGTCACTGATCTGCTTTTTCCAGGTCCCACTCCATGTCCAGAGCAGCTTATCAGCCCTGCCCAGGAAGAGGCGAGAGGAAGGCTGGGCCCTGTGCAGCAGCAGGATGAGGAAGCAGGGCTGACCCCTGCACAGTCGGGTGCTGGTGAGTGAGCACAGCAGCAGCGGGTGGGTGCTAGAAGCTCGGAGACAGGGGAGGTGGCTGATGTGCCGCTGGGTGGGCACCTGGGATGGAGCCTACAGTGTAGGCATCTTCTGTGCAGGAAGCCATCTGGACAGAGCCCTGCTGTCTCAGCGTGCACTGGCTGGGCCAGCCCGCCCCATCCTTCCTGTGCACTGCTAGCCTGATACCCAGGCCCATTCCTCCCCACCCCCACCCCCCACTCCCCTCCCTGCCAGCCTGGGTGTCAGCATGGGCTCCGTGTGGGGTTCAGGACAGTGTCTCTGCCCTGGGCCTCTGCCCTCCTGAGGCTGTCAGGATGTCAGTGAGGTGCAGAGGGATGAATAGTGAGCCTGGGGCCTTGTGGGTTTGGATGTGGCCTCTGAGGCCCTCCAGACCAGAACCTGGAGACCCTTTTCCTGGTGGATGCTTGGGCACAGCTGGGGCCTGCTGGGGAGGGGGTCGAGCCACCCAGCATCTCTCTTTCACAGGCCCTCTGGCAAGCCACTGGGTTTGGCCCTCAGTTAAACAGGAGGAGACAGAGGGGAAGCCACCAGCCTCTCCTCACAGGGGCAGTCTCCCTGGTGTGGGGCCAGGTGAGTGACTGGAGGGGCTGCTGTGGCTGCAGCAGAGCCCAGAAAGAGCTCAGGGATCTGGTGAGGGCACCTGGTGAGATGCGTCCTCTGGAGGGCTCCTTCTCTGTCCAGCTGTTCCCCGAGGGCTGTGAGGACCAGGTCAGTCAGGTCCTGGGCTTCCACAGCGCTGCCTAGCCTTGTTGGAAAGGTCCTGCTTGAAGACAGGCTGTGTGTGCCAGGCATGGCCTGTAGGTGACAGAAAGGCTGTTCCCTCGGTCTGGTTCCTGCTTCACAGCAGCCAGTGAGGTGGCCCAAGCTCAAGCTTCTAGTGTCTCTCAAACTTTGCGTGCGTTGGCTTGTGATTTAAACTGAGGTCCCTTTGTGTAGCTTGCTGGTGGGGTGCCAGGACCCTTGCCTCCTTGGTCTGTTGCGACATCAGGTGACCACTGTCACTGTCTCAGCCCCTGCTTTTCAAGACCCTATCCCGGAAGCTCCTTGCCTCAGTTCCACCTGAGTCATAGGAGGCCCACACTGAGCTCCAGTGAGAGTCATAGGCCATGGTCCCCAGGGTGCAGCGTGGGCAGGTAGAGGGCACTCTGTGGAATTGCTACATGGTAGAATGACTTCCAGCATGGGTATCTTAGTTACTTTTCTCATTGCTGAGACAAAATACCCAATACTCAAAGTTAAAGGAGGAAAGGTTCATTTAGCTCACAGTTTGTAGCGGTTTCAGTCCATAATTGGCTGGCTCCAAGGCAGGGTGGCATGGAAGACAGGCATTGCAGAAGAGAAGCACTTTGGTAGTAGGCAGAAAGTAGCAAAACAATGAGGGATGACACATTTCTTTCTATCCCTTCTATCTTATCCAGGTATCTAGGGCGAGTAGCACACCCTTAATCCTAGTGCCCTTGAGCCTAGCACTGCACCATGAATCAATCCCAGCATTACACATTCTAGATCCAGCCACCTCTGAAAAAGCCCTACCTAGGACCACATGAGTCTTTGGGGAGACATCCAAGCACAAGCCATAACAACGAGTCGTGGTGTCCTCTGGGCTGCTGGGGTTGCTGATGTCACCAGGCAGCAGGCAGGGCCCATAGGCTCCTTGTCCTTTAGAAGTCGTAACTATTGTCATTGGAATTCTTGGGTCCTGCCAGCCTCTCCGCAATGGCCAGGGTCTCCGCAATGGCCAGGGTCTCCCTCCCTCTTCCTGCCCGTCTGACAGGTCTGACCCTGGATGTCCTGGGCTCCTGGCTTTGCAACTCACACTGCTCTTGCCTGGTTTCCTTGGCTCAGACAATGCAGATTCCCTTGCAGGTGGCAGTGCTGTGGCCCTTAAGACAGAAGCTCCATTGGAGGACGAGACAATGCTGGAGGAGCTCTTCCTGGAGTCTCCAAGCCAGACCAAGTGTAGAATCCCGCAGGGGCCCAGGAATCAGACTGGAGGTCTCACACAGCGTTGTACCCAGATGTTGCTCCAGCCACCAGGGGCCGTTGGGGAGCAGCGCCAGCTACTGCCTCACCGTCGGCGGGAACGGGCCTTCCCTTGCCCCGACTGTGGGCAGAGCTTTCGCCTTAAGATCAACCTGACGATCCACCAGCGGAGCCACGCAGAGGAGAAGGGAGGAGGAAGCCATGCTACCCTGGAGCCAGGTGAGGTGGCAGCACCTGGCCCCGTTATCTGCTGGCTCCCCCAGGAGCCCAGGGGCCACCAAATGCTGGCCCACCAGGCCTTCACAGGGCAGAGGCCAGCGGCCACCAAGATGTACCACTGCAGTGAGTGCCTGTGCTGCTTCCAGCAGCGCAAGAACCTGCTGCTGCACCAGCGCCTACACACCGGTGACAGCCAGGGCTGGCTCACCTGCCCCTACTGCAGCAAGGCCTTCCGCCGGCCCTCGGAATTCTTTCGCCACAAGCGCATCCACACAGGCCATCGGCCCTACCAGTGCTTCCAGTGTGGCCGGGCCTTCAACCGCAACCACCACCTGGCTGTCCACATGAAGACTCACACCCGGGGACAGGAGCCCCTGCAGGGGCCTGGCCACATGGAGGAGGGCTGACCCCAGGGGCCTGCTGGCCACCCTGGGCTCTCTGAGCACCCTCTCTCTGGGTCCTTCCTCTGTGCCTCACACTGGTCCCTCATTTGAAGATGGCTTTGGAGAGACTTATTTTTTATTCAGATGAGAAGCAGCAGCCCTCTTGGGAACAACGTATGTGTATGACAAGGTGCCTCCATTTCCCAAGTTGGTCACTACTAGCTTTACTACATTCCTCTCTTATTCCTTTGCATGTATGGGGTGTGGCTTTTGGAAGGGCCTTTGGCTGGTACCAGAGTCAGGAGGACCACAGGTTGGACCTGTGCAGGAGGAGACCATAGAGACCTCAAGGGACAAGGAATGACTGCACAGTCTGCCTGTGGCCTTGTGAAAAGCAGCAGAGTGTACGGATGGCCTGAGGAGAATTTGTATTTTCTACTTTGTGACTTTGAGACTCTTCCTCTTATGGAGCTTTCCTAGTATTTTTGCAAGCATTTCTTGGAGTTGTAAATGGGACCAAGAGCTCCTGCAAGATGAGAAGAGGAGCTGAGTACAGACTGCTGTGGGCTTTGGTGGGAGGCCTGTGGCTGTCCTGGAAATAGGGGGTCTCCCCAGGTGGGTTTCTCTGCCCATGGTGGCTCTGGGGCCTCCTAGGCTTCCCCCACAGGGCAGTCTCACCTGTTACTTCCTCTTACTGTCAGTTGAGCCAGGAGAGGGATGAGCCCCCCACCCTCCCAGGGTCTCTGGGTTCCTGGATGTGTGGGGTCCATTGACGAGCCTGGAAGATTGTCGGAGCAGGTGCAGGGTGAGCCTCAGAAGACCTACCCCAAGAGGGGCCCCTCACCTGGGAGAGGTGGCCATCCGCCTGCACTTTGGGGCCACATTGGGCAAGGAGGTCTGGGAGACCCATTCAGCCATCTCAGGGCCCACATTCCTTGTCTGAGAGAGTGTCGGTCCCAGTGCCACCTTCCTCCCCTCAGTGTTATCCGTGTCGCATGTAAGAGCATGGCACAAAGTCCCTCCTTCTGAACTCAGAGCCTTCTTTCTGGTCTGTGTTGGTGGCCAGCCCTTTCCACCTAGGAGGAATCCTTTGAGAAGGGCCTTTCTCTTCTGGACAGCAGAGCTGCACCAGGTTCAGGGAGTTGGACTTGCCATGGGACTTGTGCCCTAGGCTCCCTTTTACCGAAGCACAGACTCAATCCCAGGAAGCTGAGGCCATGGTGTTAGGACTTACAGAGGGGTCTTAAGAAAGGCTCATTTGTCTTGCCTTGTAATTATGCCACCTTGGTGTTGCATGCAGACCAGACAGGCGCCAGGGGTCTAAAGCCACAGTGAGCCACCAGCCTTGCTGGCAGCTCGCTGTCTTGTCTGGCCTGCTCCTGAGTGTCTGGTTCCTTACTGTGCCACTTCCTGTTGCCCTTCTGACCCTTGCCAGTGGGGCCAGGTGTTAACATGGATGTCATTCCTTGGGGGAGAAGCACACAGGTCTGTGGCTGTTCACTGCACTCCCAGGGAGGCCTCACCCTCCTGCACTGTGGGTCCCACTTGTCCTTGTCTGGGCCCTAGAGTCAGATCTGCAGTCACCAAATGCTAGGACTGGAAGTATGCTCAGAGCTCAACCAACTCTCAGTTGCACAAGCCAGTCTGGGGTGTTCAGGAGGCATCTCTGGGCTATGAACTGCTTGGGGCCAGGTCTGCTTTTCCAAACACCCCTGTAAATACAGTCGCTTAAGCTGTATTTAAGCAGGAAGCTCAGGCTCCTCATTTTTGGTTGGTTTTGGTTTTGTTTTGTTTTTTGGGGACAGGATCTTGCTATGTAGTTCAGGCTAGCCTGGAACTTGCAGCCATCCTCCTGCCTTAGTCCCCAAGGCCTGGGATTAAGTTTGCACCACACCTGGTCTGTCTGCCTCTGCCTCTCCTTCTCCCTCCTCTCTCTGTCTCTCTTCCACAATTAGCAGGTTAGATTCCCTCTCCCCTGCTCTGGACCTCAGCTTGGGTTCCCCCATCTGCAAAACAAGAAATGGTTGGGCCACAACCTCTGTAAGGAACTGTGAAGGTGGCAGTCTCCAGTCCTACTCGGTGCTCAATAAACAAGCTGATATAAACGAGTGCGTGCAAGTGATCTGGTTCCTACGCTACAGTAGGTAGAGGGCAGGAGAGGACGGTCACGGCTGGACTTCCCACAGCTATAGCACCTGCAGGCCGAGACTGTCGCATGGCCTGGACTTCCGGAGAGAGGGCCAATCAGGAGTTGGAGGTGTGGAATGGCGCTTCCCGCTCACCGGATCAGGAGTCGAATTAAGCTGGGGGCGTGTTCTGCAGTTCTGTGCTGCTGGCCACCATGCTCCACTTGGCTGTCACCATCCTCGGTGCTTGTAGACCTTTGTGTCCCGGACCTGGGAGCAGCGCAGGGTCACAGCTGAGGCCGCCGCAGTTTCAGTAAGGCCAGCCCTGTGAAGGACGTGGAGACCTGCAGCCACGTCCCAAATTTGCCCTACAACTCCTGGAACCAGGGCTCAGCCAGGGTGTGGGTGTTGAGGAGAGGTTGAGGACGAGGACGCTAAAGCCACACGGGAAGTCCTGTCCCCATGCTTGGTCACAGTCCCTATCCACAGAACCAGGAGATTGGACTTCTCTGCTTGCCCCGAGTCCTGTGGGCCAGTTCTGTGGGTCCTGGTGTGGACATGTATTATTGGCATCCTCACTGCAGAGACTGGGCTCCTTGTCCTGGATCTCAGACAGCTGCCTACCTACTCTCACCCCCATTTTCCAAGCTGAGGATGGGGTCACAGTATGGGGAGGCATTTACTCTAGTCTGGGTGTTGGTGTCCTTTGGGGCCAGCCTCTCCTCCCTGCCTGAGACCTGTGATGATCCCGCAGACTTGAGCTATGACTCAGGTCAGGCTGAGTCCTGGTGCCTGCCCACGGTTGTCTAAGATTCCTCAGGTCCCTCATGCTGCAGGGAGGGGATCTGTGTCACAAAGGACTTCTGGTTAATGTTTCTGCTTTGGGTTCGATGAGTCCATGGCTGGCTAACTGAAGAGTTGAGGTTTGCCGTGCTTGTAGATGTTGTTGGATGTCACATTTGTGTCAGCATTGCCAGGAGATGTGGCGTTTGCCTCTAACTGAAGACTGTACAGTATTTTCCTCCTTCTGGTCACAAGTCATATGGGTCAGAGGGCGGACTGTGGATGGAGCCATCATGCTTTAAGAGGAAGAAGGAAGACACTGATATCTGATGACTTGGGGACCCTTTGCTGAGCCCTGTTTTTTTTTTTTTTTTTTTTTTTTTTGGTACAGGGGACTGAACTTTGGTCCTTGCACTTGTGAGGCAGGCCACCAAACCACTGAGCTAAATCCTCAGCCCTGCTGAGCCCTGGTTTGAGAGAGGTCTTGGGGAAACTCACAGTCTATGTTTCACAACATGTTCTTGCTATTGGTACATTCTGTTATATTTGTTTCTTTTTAATTTTAATTTTTATTAGTACATGTTTGCAGTACATAATGATATACATTACTCATGGGGAGTTGGTACACATATATAACACATCTTAATTTTTATGTCCCCTTCTGCTCCCCTATCTCTAAAAAAATTGGGGTGGGTACTGGAAATCAAACTCAGGACCTTGTGCTTATAAGGCAGGTGCAGCACCACTGAGCTAAACCCCTGGCCCCTCCAAATATTTATTTTGAATAGCACAGTGGTAATGTGGTAGTGTCCTGCACCCTAAGAGCTTTTCTGTATGTTTAGTGCACTTTGTTTACAGCACCATCCAGGAGGCAGGGGAGCTATGATGGCCTCACCCCCAACTGCATATGATTCCAGTGTCAGGACAGGTGTTGAGTCAAGTTCTGGGAGACTTCCATAGGCCTGGCCTCCTAGTGCAGGGACTACCCCAAGGGCTGCCAGTGAGACACCTGGGTCCAGGGAACCAGCTGTGTCTGCACAGGAAGAAACACACCAGGAGATAGCAGGCTGGGAAGGGCTTAGAGGTCACTGAGGCCAGAACCACAGGGTCTCCTCATTCACTCTTGAGCTTAATTATGGGCAGGGGTGCCCTAGGAGAAGGTGAGGGCCAAGATTGCCACCTGAGTGCACTGGGCCCTTGGCATGTTTTCTCAGTTCCTGGCTGTGATGCTTGCTATTCCTTTTCTATTATCCCTGGTCTTGGTCCACTCACTTCTGGTTGGGTCCAACATCTGTTCTCTGTGAAGGTCTGTCAGGTGGAGCCTTGGGGTCTGACCAGTGAGGGCTTCTGGTGCCTGGAAGTTCACCCCTTTCCAGGGACTCTGACTTTCTGAATCTGGGAATGGCTCCCTGCTTGTGTCTGGTTCCAGAACTGGCCTGTAGGGACTGACCTCTGTTGGGAGGCACAGATCCAGCCCGCAGATAGATATCACTCCTGGCCCTCCTGGCCCCTGTCTAGGCCATGTAGAAGAAGATGGAGTCCCAGATCACCCAGCGGCAGAGCCTGGAGGGCTGCGCGGGGGCAGCCAAGAAGAAGCTGGCTGACCGTGAGAAGACAGCCATGGAGCTCGGCACCTCAGCTGAAGGGCAAGTGGGCCGTGCTGGGGACCCTGCTGCAGGAGTACGGGCTGCTGCAGGGGCAGCTGGAGAACCTGGAAAACCTGCTGTGCACCCGGAACATCTGGGTGCTGTCCCCAGGAAGCAAGGGCAAGGTACCTAAGGTACAAGGACTGATTCGGGGTCCTCACAGGCAGAGTGGAGAGAAGCCCTTGGCTGCTGAAGCCTGGCCTCTTGGTGCCTAAGGGGCTTTAAAAAATGTCAGAAGGAAGCCAGGTGTGGTAATCCTTTGGACTGACCATGTAGCCCAGGCTAGCCTTAAACTTCAGCCTCCTAACTGTGATTATAGGTGTTCACCACCACACCTGGTCATCCACTCTCTTTGCCTCATTGGAAGCCTAAGGCCCAGAGCAAGCACATCCCCTCCCTTTCTTGTTCCAGAACAGGGTGCCAGTATGTGCCAAGATGCAATGTGAGGTGGGTACCTGGGATAGCTGACCCCTTCTTGGGCCTCTGCTTTAGTTTTCTATGAGGTGGCTCTTGACTAGGGTGGGGAGGAACTGGGAGGCCTTGTTCTGCTCTATTGGTGTCCCCCCAGCACTGCCATCTGCCAAGAAGACCCTAGTCACTGCCTCTTCCTCCCCACTGACCATGCCACTAAACCAGAGCCACAGACCCCCATGGAGAGGGGAGACAGGGCAGCCACATCATGTCTGTGCTGAGGGGTGAGTGCCTGGGCACTGGTGAGTCCCCTCGGGCATGTGGGCCTCTGGTCATCACCTGGAAATACATCTGGTGTTGGAGTTTCCGCTTGGAGACAGAGGTGGGGGGATGAACCACTAGCTGTCATAACTGTTGGGGCACGTGAGTCCTGGGTGTCTTGATGGTTAGGGAATGCTGGGGCTACTTCCGCCGGTTGCCTGGAGCCGTCAGTGTGGCCTGATGCAATGCTGGGCACTGTGGGGACAGCCAACAGCAGAGTAACACTTGGGAACCAGGGACTGCGGTTGCTGTTGTAATGCACACAGGATCTTCAGTGGCAAGGCTACCTTCTGGAGACCTCTGACACTGCATGTCCCATAGACTGCTTTCCCAGGGAAGGCAGCGGAGTCTCGCTCTAATGTCTCCCAGCACCTATTACAGGGCCTGGCAAGAACTCAGATAATAAATAAGGGTCGCTAAGTGAACAATAAGCTAGAATTAGAGCTCAGGTTTTCTTATTCAGATAATAGTGGAAGTCCTGTTCACAGAACACAGTCATCCCAAGAGCTTGCCCTTGCTTTTAGATTTGTATATTTTATTTGGGGAGAAGGAGCTCCTTGGAAGCAGGCTTTTTGAGTAGCTAAGTGAAGTTACAGTGAGCCCAGAGCCCTCTTTGGAGCTGGGCAAGAAAGCACCAGAGAGCTGGGCTGTCCCTGCTTTTTGAGCAGTCATTTTCATGTACTCCCTAATCTGTGAGCTTCCCCGAACTCTGCAGTGGATCCTCAGGCCCAGATGTATGGGTACTGGCCCATTTTATTTACTAGAAGCTCCTACAGCTGGGAATGGGGTGTCATTCGCCTGGTCTGGGCAGGACCTGGGCAATGCAGTTTCAGAACAGTCCTCAGGTGATGTGAATGTAGTCAGTTTGAGAAGCAGGTTGCCAGGATCTTCCTGAATAAGGACTAGCCTTTAACTTTCGTGTATGAATTCTTGCACACATTATGTAAATACATTCTTACCCAAATACACTGTCACTGTGCAATGCAGGTTATACATAAGGCAAAAGGCCACTGGCCACCCACTCCACCCCAACCCCTTCTGACAGAGGCCACTGATGGTTTTGGTTTGTAACTTTAAAAAACAAATTCCATTAAATTTATTGGTACGTTTTATTTATTTTTTTGTTTTGTTTTTTGTTTGTTTGTCTTTTGAGACAGGGTCTCACTATGTAGTTGAGGCTGACCTGGAACTCACTATGTAGCCCAGGCTGGTCTCTATCACAGCAATCCTCCTGTCTCAGCCTCCTAAGTGCTGGGATCAAAGGTGTGCATCACCACTCCTGGCTATTGGTACATTTTAGATACACGTTATGATCACATTCGTCATTGGGAATTTGACCCTGTACATAATATATCTAGGTTCTTGTGTTTTCCACATTCCCCTTTCTTCCTTTCCACCTCTCCACCTCCCTATTTACAGAAATTCTGTTTCCGTTTTTTCCTTCTCTTCTCATATTTTTTCCTTCCCTTCTTTCCTTTCCCCCACCCACCTCCCTAGTTCCTCTTCCCTTTTGGATCTTTTCTTCCTATTTCACATTATCTATTATATGTTTTGGTCCTCATTTACTCTTGTAGTTTCTCACACCAGAGAAACTATTTGGTATTTACACACGTGTGTTCTATTTATCTCACTAAAGAGCATGGCCTCAGTGTGGATCCATTTAGCTATAAATGTCTCTAGTTTACCATTCTTTATGGACGAGTAGTATGCCATTTTATTTAAAAAAAAACAAAAAATCACATTTTTATCCAGTCACCAGTTTGATGGGCAATTGGGCTGTTTCCAATTTTAGCTATTACAAACTGTGCTGCTATGAACATGGGTGTGGAAACATCACTGTGCTATGATACTTTTAATTCTTTTGGGGAGATACACAACAGGGGAATAGCTGGGTCAAATGGGATCTGTAATCCTAGTTCTTTGAGAAATCTCCACACTGATTTCCATAATGGTTACACAAGTCTACACTCACACCAGCAATGGAGAAGGGTTTTTTTTTCTCCCTACAGCTCCACCAGCATTTGTTGTTGGTTGGTTTCTTGATAGCAGACATTCTTTCTGGAGTGAGTTGGAATCTCAGTGTTGTTTTCATCTGCATCTCTTGAATTACCAGGGATGTTGAATATTTTTTCATGTCTATTCACTGCTTCTACTTTTTCATCTGAGAAGTGCCTATTCATTTCAGAAGCCCATTTTTGGATTGGGTCTCTAAATTTGGGGGAGAGTCTGACTTTCTTAAATTAATTATATATTCTTTTTTTTTTTTTTTTTTTTTTTTTTTTAAATTTATTTTTTTTTTTTTTTTTTTTTTTTTTTTTTTTTGCACCAGGTATTGAACTCCGGTCCTTGTGCTTGCAAGACAGATGGCAGAACCACTGAGCTAAATCCCCGGCCCCTCTTTATATATTCTA